GCAAAAGACAACGCTTGACTCGGTCACTGGGGCTGTCAAACTTCCCATCATAAATGAACTTCAATTTCTCATCTGTTTCAAGTATGTGTACTGCCATGACTTGACCATGCTTCATCCACAGCTGGGCGAAGATTGTGGCGTTGAATTCCATAGCGCACCTTCTTGCTGCCATGCAGGAGTATGTTGAGAGAAGTGAACATATTTTTACTAAAAAACAACAGCCACTGAAGAGGATAGCAATATCCTTGGGTGAATCTCCTGCAGGTACACGTTGTTGGTAGGTCTACTGGTCCGTCTCCATATCGTCAAGTTCAGAAATCACCTGTACTATATCTTGTAGAAGGGATCCTGATCGAATAATTCCTGGTCATAAAATTCACTAAACTGAGGGCGAGACAAATAGTCAGTACTCCCCGATTCCGTCAAGCTGCTTTGAAGTCTGGATGCTCATGTGATGCTAACAAACTCCCCGTTGTTACTTCCAGCAGCTTCACTTTCCCTGCGACAGCGGCTATCAACCTCTCTCTCCATCGTCGACAATTATCACAGATTCGACATTCTACATTTATCAGCACTGCACTGGGTGAATATGTCTCAAGACGAATTTAGCGGATCAACAACGCTTTGCTGGAGATAAATTCTCCTCTGGAGGACCTTCAGGGTACCTGGAAGGATATAGAAAACGGGATCGCTCACGACGTTGAGAGAACATAGCAAACAACCTCCTCTTCGATTGAAAATTGGCCAAAAAGTATGCGAAATGTATGTGCGCAGATGCATTTCCACTGGCAAGCTAATCCCTCATTACGTCATCAGCGCTCGCTCGGCGAAATTCAAAAGTCGTCTTCCTGCTCGACTCGATCGCTTCTGGAGACTCGTTCTTGTTCGAGGCGTCTTCTCTTTCACCAACCTTCGTCTTGGCATCGAAAACTCGGCGTCGAAAATGAAGCCGGAGTGCCCCTTTAAACAGAGATACAACAATCACATGAGCACGACGAGGCATGAGAGGATGGAAAAAAGCACGGAGTTGTCCAAGTGCATATGGAAGCTCAAGCGGAGGAACACTCCGCACTCTGTCAAATGGGCCGTCGTCACCTAGGCCCAGGCCTACTCGAACGCGACCAAGCGGTGTCCCCTATGCCTGGCTGAGAAACTGGAGATCCTGGAAGCAGACAAAACGGTCAACATCAACAAAAGGTCGGAGTTGGTGTCGAAATGCAGACACGAGAACAAGTATTACCTGTCCAGATCCTCACCATCAGTTACATGAGTTTTTCAACATGGCGCAACCTGCACCAGGTTTGGCGCCATGGTGCTTTCTCTCTCCCTCTTCCCTCCTGCTGTGGTCTTGCGCTACTGTCGCTATCGCCTTTGATGACTCGGTAACACTGCCCTGTTATCGCCTCTATTCTCACCTATATCCGTTAAATCTCACAAAACAACTCAATACCATTGTCCCAATGCGACGTCTTCACTTCGCACAAATGCACTAACTTCCACACTAGCATCAAATATCTAGGCCTGCTCGTAGAGAATTCGATAGTGAATGCTGCTGTCTGATGATCGCTCCGATGCGTGAAACTTTAAAAGTGACAGCTAACACAGCCTTTCGCCTCTGTTGTGTGTGCACATACATGTACATGTACATGTATGTGCACACCAAAATTGCGTTGTTGTTGTTGTTGTTGTTGTTGCTGTTGTTGTTGTTGCTGTTGTTGTTGTTGCTGTTGCTGTTTTGAATTCTATATTCCCACGTTGTTGTTGTTGTTGTTGTTGCGCCGCCGGCCCGCCGCTATTGCTGTTGCTGCTGCTGTTGGTGTTGCTGTTATTTCCGTTGACGTTGTTGTTTTTCTGAATGCTTTTCTGGGAACCTCTTCTGTACCTTACCTTTCGAACATTAAAAAAGGGTAAAGGCCTGATACCCATACGGTGCAGTCTGCATGATGGTCGTCAAGACCGGAGCTCTACCAACCGTGGACGGTTGTAGTAAGGTCACCATGCCATGGTCTCGATCACTGTTTCCGAACACGGTGGTCTCCACCTTGTTACCAGGTTACATGCTGTCATTGCAACCAACAACATTAAAGGGGAAGTTAAAGGGGAAGTATACCCTAAAATCAAATTTTCACCAGTTGTAGTCTTCGGGGTGCTGAGTCGAATGGTCTTGGTCCGAGGAAGCTGAGACGCTCCCTTCCTACTTGAATCCCAATCGAACTCGCGCACTTCCACCGAAACTGGGTGACTGCGCCCTACTAGATGGGGATTTGTATGCAAAATCTCACTAAAAGCGCCATTTCGTTCTTATAAAAGCACGGATGACCGCGATTGGCCCATATGTTGTAGTCTTTTGGACGCTGAGTCGACTGGTTTTGGTCCGAAAAGGCTGCGATGCAGCGTTCCTCCTTTATTCCCAATCGAACATGGTTGAACAAGCGGTCACGTGCTCCTGCGTACACCAGTCACCTGGTCACCGTGCCTGCAGGGTACAACTTACTAGCCTGTTTGACCTTTTTTGGGTGCAGTCCTGTCACTCGAGTTGAACTCGAGTTGAACCTTGGTGTGAAAGTTGTCGCCTGCTGGCGCGGTGACCAGGTGATTTGGGCACCCAGGAGCACGTGACCGCGTGTTCAACCATGTTCGATTGGGAATAAAGGAGGAACGCTGCATCGCAGCCTTTTCGGACCAAAACCAGTCGACTCAGCGTCCAAAAGACTACAACATATGGGCCAATCGCGGTCATCCGTGCTTTTATAAGAACGAAATGGCGCTTTTAGTGAGATTTTGCATACAAATCCCCATCTAGTAGGGCGCAGTCACCCAGTTTCGGTGGAAGTGCGCGAGTTCGATTGGGATTCAAGTAGGAAGGGAGCGTCTCAGCTTCCTCGGACCAAGACCATTCGACTCAGCACCCCGAAGACTACAACTGGTGAAAATTTGATTTTAGGGTATACTTCCCCTTTAAGCAAAAATTAAAATTTCACCAGTTGTAGTCTTCGGGGTGCTGAGTCGAATGGTCTTGGTCCGAGGAAGCTGAGACGCTCCCTTCCTACTTGAATCCCAATCGAACTCGCGCACTTCCACCGAAACTGGGTGACTGCGCCCTACTAGATGGGGATTTGTATGCAAAATGTCACTAAAAGCGCCATTTCGTTCTTATAAAAGCACGGATGACCGCGATTGGCCCATATGTTGTAGTCTTTTGGACGCTGAGTCGACTGGTTTTGGTCCGAAAAGGCTGCGATGTAGCGTTCCTCCTTTATTCCCAATCGAACATGGTTGAAGAAGCGGTCACGTGCTCCTGCGTACACCAGTCACCTGGTCACCGTGCCTGCAGGGTACAACTTACTAGCCTATTTGACCTTTTTTGGATGGACTCCTGTCACTCGAGTTGAACCTTGGTGTGAAATTTGTCGCCTGCTGGCGTGGTGACCAGGTGATTTGGGCACCCAGGAGCACGTGACCGCTTGTTCAACCATGTTCGATTGGGAATAAAGGAGGAACGCTGCATCGCAGCCTTTTCGGACCAAAACCAGTCGACTCAGCGTCCAAAAGGCTACAACATATGCGCCAATCGCGGTCATCCGTGCTTTTATAAGAACGAAATGGCGCTTTTAGTGACATTTTGCATACAAATCCCCATCAAGTAGTAGGGCGCAGTCACCCAGTTTCGGTGGAAGTGCGCGAGTTCGATTTTGATTCAAGTAGGAAGGGAGCGTCTCAGCTTCCTCGGACCAAGACCATTCGACTCAGCACCCCGAAGACTACAACTGGTGAAATTTTAATTTTTGCCTTAACTTCCCCTTAACATGTCAACAGTTACATGTACATGTACATATTAATCATGACATTGTACAGTCATGTACATGTACATGTACATGTAATAGTGCTTGCTGTCAAGTAATACTAATACTGTAATAGTTAGTTGCTGTCTTGCTGATGCATTCCCGATTAGGCCTGGGCGGATAATGCTAGCATTATATGTAGCATTATACATGTACATGTATGTGAGTGTGCGATTCGCAACGAGCATTATGCTAGCTTTATAACACTACATTTTCCACAAAAGTGGCATTACAGGTATACTCAAATATGGAAGTTTTGGCCACTACAAAAAATGGACCGCTACATGCCTTGTACATACATGTAGAACTGCACAACCTGCACAGGATTGTCCAAACTAAGCCATTTCCATGCATACTATTGCGGTTTTGCTGGCATTATGGAACAATGTCAATAGCACCAGCATTATGATCATGATCTTCTAACATTTTCCATGCCGTCTACGTAGAACTACGAAACATGCACAATACTGCCCAAAACCAAGCCATTTTTCCATACTTACTACTGGTGAATTGCTGGCATTACAGAGGAACAGCAGCATTATAAGTAGCATTATGATACAGTTTTTCTGGCATTGCCATTAGCATTATCCCGCAAAATAACTAGCATTATCCGCCCAGGCCTATTCCCGATCCCGCCATCCCGGTACTGTAGACGTAACGGACCTACATAATTGTAAGTCTAAGACGCCTAAAAGTAAAACTAAAGACGGTCTACTGACTGTGACTGTAGTCTAGATCTACGACTACAAATTAATTACCGGTAGTACAATGACATGACTGTACTGATAAATGAATCTGTCTATCTACAATGACATTACTTGTATGTAGATGTACATGACTATCTTTACTACAGTGCTGGCAAATGAAATCCGACCCCCTTGCCGGGGCGCCGCACCGGCAAGGGGGTCGGATTTCAGTTGACAGCACTGTACTTCTCTTGTCTCTACAGTAGTGCTCGCCGGTGCGCGCCTCGGCCCGGGCCCTCGGCGCTGGTGACCTACCGCCAGTACCGGTCTTTACTTCGGGATCAGGGAGTCGTAAAATACCACTCCTATGAATCGGGACTCCGGATGCGGATGCGCTCCGTGTGTCCTCAGTTGCGTCACGCGCTTGAAGAAAAATCCCATTCGCTTGCGCTGCTTGCTGTCGACGTCGCACAGAACAAAAAAAATACAAGGTCCGGTTGCCTGATTTGAGGTAAAGTAAGTTGGAACAGACAGACAGTGCAAGCTTGTTCTTTCTCGTGGTTTACATGTAAGAGACGCTCGGGTTCTCACCAGTAGCGGCGCCCTATGGTAGCGCTAAATTAGCGTCGACTTGATAGCGGTTCGTTCTCTGACACCGGGCACGATTCCGACAGAAAAGTAAAAGTAAGTCCATCAAGCAGTTCTTGAGTGGGGTGAATGGAGGTAGTTAGCAAAAATTTAATAATTGTTCACATGTAGTATAGGAATTACTGGGTCTCTGTAGTGCTGACGTGGCGACTACAGGTACAACATAGCTCAGTGGCAGAGCATCGCTGGCCTGTAGCGAAGATCTCTGGCTCGGATCCTGGCGGGGAAAGTCAATATCTCCTAAGATCCTCCCCATTTTACCTCCCTCTAGCAAAATGAAAAGCCCACATTTGAATCTCCGAGATGTGATTGTATTAGTCATCAAGGGGGATCACCAAGCAACGTTCAACTTCCAATCTTCCACCGAGGCCACTGGGGGTGCCAGTCGGAAGCTGCTGGCGCCAGTATAATGTAAATGTATGCCACCGACAACAGATGAACTAAATAATTAATTACCCACACCACGTCCGGGGTCCATGATCCAGTGCATGTTTTCTGACCGACGACGTTACGTGCTGCTCCATGTGACAGTGCAAGCGGTCAGAGTATGGTAACTATGGTTGGAGTGTAGTGTGTGTGTGGGGGGGGGGGGGGGGGCATACGTACCTGTTCCGCTGAGTCTCTAATCTGATATCATGTTCTTGTATTGTTTACGTCATCGCATCCATGCTAATCAGAGATTCAAAAGGTCATGCTCTGTGACTGGCACTGTATGCAACCGTGCATACAGGAATCCCACGCACTGAGGAACTGTATTTGTCTTAGGCTCAGTCCGCAACAGCCCGATGTTTCATGCTTTTCTGCGTACGGTCTAAATGTCCCAGCCTCAGCGGCCTGCACTTGGCCAGTCCATTAGATTCCTGCGATCATGTGGGCATGTACAGATACTGGTACATGTTCCTAAATGAACGTTTGCCCAGAACTTGCCATTGTCCTGTGATGTTCGCCTCTTGATGTAGGACCCAGAGTTACGGCAATAACCATGCATGTTTTATCCACCGTGTGTTTCCCATCGTTGTACATGTGCATTGTATGTCTTCTGACCAACAAGCTGTGGAGCTCATAATGGCTTCTTGGAGAACACGATCCTCAAATGCCGCGCGCACATTTGTTTCGCCATCCCGTTGTCCTGCCCATGCCTATGGTCTGCGTTCAGTATTTAACGGAGAAATGCTCGTTTCGTGTTCTCCATTGCTATCTTCAGCAGAAATTAGAGTAGTTCACCTTGTTCCATCGTCCACCTTAGATAATGCTTGGGGATAACCACACAGTTGTATCAGTGTACTAATTTTAGTATCATGATACTCAGTTTTCCACATGCACTGAACCCTGTGGAACTTCCTGGTAAAATCGTGTGACTTGGCTAATATGCAGTAGGACTTTATCGTTGGCAGCAAGTCCTTGAAATACTTGGGCCAAAGGGTGTTTAGTCTGGAGAAGTTATCTAGAGCATGCGGATTTCTTGTTTTGCTTGAGAGCCTATGGTTCAATACGGTGCAATGGCCACTATGGGTCAATACGGTGCAATGGCCACCTGTGTCCTGTGTCGGTCTGTTCTGCAGACATCGCCTGCTCGGAATCTTCGGCCACGGTCATGGCGGAGGGTTCAGACAGTCGAATGACGGTTGATGCCAAGGTGCTGTCGGCGGGCATGATGTACCGCAGCCGTCGTCGAAGGAGGCATCGCAAGGCCAATGAAGGCATCACACAGCACCACGCCGAGAGCGGCGCCGAAGAGGAAATGTTCATGGATGTGCCATCGTCTTCACCAGGGTCATTCGAGCACGACGACAACAATGACGAAGGACTCATAGAATACGTCACACGCGACTTGCAGCCCGATATGAGGCAATCCAACTTCAGCTTGGGAGGCGCGGTAAGGATGTATACACTCCAGGTCAAGAAATTACTTCCATTCTAAACTCTATCCACATGTGAAGTGTGCATCTAGCAACCGCAGTCCCACAATATTAGAATCTGCATTTGTAGAAATCATGTCTCACTTTAATAGTCTACACAAGTTGTTTTCCAGCGCACCAAGAATTTCTTCCTGCGTGCCGGATTACATTTTCATGTTACCTTCAGTCTCAGCTTTCACCAGTGGGGGTACCACTGGCTGGTGCTGCCGGAGCTTGCCTGTCAGGAGGTGGTAAAGCAACCCTTGCTGAGCGCCGCATGAGCCTCCAGCGTCGCACGTCCATGGAGGGAGAGAACCAGTTGAAGGAAGTGATTATGAGACTCGAGGAGCTGGGCGACAGCATTGACGGTGACATCCAGACGTATATAAACAGTGCGTTGAAGGAGCTGGCCATTGAGTACGGGGAAGGAGTTTCCTATTCGGGCTACCGTGGAGTTGTCGCTAAAATGTTCAAAGAGGTAAGCGACAGAGGGGGTGGGGAAATAAAATATGAATCCGTCCGTGCTATCACTCTGTCATAGACTTGCGTTTTCTTCTCACGTTTACAAGCCTTTAGTAGTGAGAGCATTTCAAGTAGGATTTCCGTCCAATTATTCTGTTGATGTTTTGATGAAACAAAGGACGGGCTGCACAAGATTTCGCTCAGAAGGGTTGTAACGTTATATCCAAGCATGTATGCATGTTAGTCTCTGACTGCTCCAAGTGGTGAGGGAATACACATGGTGTCTGGAGTTGGTTTTCCTAGGAAACGAGCGAAACGCGGTGTGCATGTTTCTTTGTCCTGGTGTGTTGTGCTTGTCTTGCAGTTCTCAGCCTCGTGGAAGACAGTCGCTGCAGTTTACAGAATGAGTGATGACCTCTTGGAAGAGGTTGAAGAGACGACAGGCAGCGAAGACCACATCCTGCAAACGCAGCTTCAAGATCACAACGTCCGCGCCATCATGGACGTTGCCGGGGACTTCCTCAGCAAGGTGGGCGGCTTGACGGCCATTCTCACCGCCAAGCAAGAGGATCTGTACGGGCCGGAAACGGAGCTTTGAGGCGGCGTTGTGTGTCTGCTCGTGCACTGCGGTTTTCTTGATGCAAGCTCGGAAATTCCCATGCCATGATTGGGTATGTACCCGCTCGCCGGCGGTAGCCATTGTTAGGTGATCGTTTTCAGCTACGTATCTTGGTGGTCACGCTAGGGAAATGCATTGTGAGATGCACTGTGCGCATAGTTTAGTCAGGCAGCTTTAGACGACTCTGCTGGCATATTGTCATTCTCACGCAAAGCTATACTCTCGGAAAACCATGATAAATATCAGATTGATGACTACTTTCTTGATGAAAGCATAAGTAAATATATAGGTTAGACATCAAACAATAAGAGGACAGAGAAAGTGTTTTAACTCTGAGTTTCACGCACTAAGCGATCATCAGAAAACAGTAAGGTTAGACATCCTGGGAAACACGACTCTTGTTTACTGGCATACAAGCACTTGATGCAAACTAAGCCACCACAGTACAACTTGGCCTCTTTTAGTATTGTGACTATTATCAATCATATCACCATGTCATATCACCATATTATTTTGTCTTAGTCTTTCTGATCTGTCCCACAAAATATATCTCTTGGTGTGGAGATTCTAAGTCGAGTTATGACGCAACAATTTGCCACTTCGTCCACGCTGTAGTCTTGCTGTTCATGTTCCAACCGGATTTGCTGTGCAGGTAATACGGTCAGACCTCGCTTATCCGGTCCTCTTTTATCTGGATCCCTCGCCATCCGGAAGAAAATAGCTGGTTACAGATTTGCAGCATACGCAGTGCCTCCAACATAACCGGTGTTCGGTTATCCGGTTCCCTCGCCTATCCGGATATTTTAGCGGAAAACGGATGTGTGCGGTTATGCGAGGTCCGGACTGTAATGTTCTCTGGAGTTTGGTCACAATGTTGCACTACATGGGTTGGAGGTTACAATAGCATGGGACACGTGTTTACCAAGTGGTAATGTGTGAGGCACCCACAAATATTTTATGGCTACCGTATTTTCCGGAGTATAAGCCTCACCCAGATATTTTGCCACGAAATACAGACATCTACCCCAGTTTGATACCACCGCTAATTTGACCATGGTAGTATAAGGCGCACGGCGACTTTTAGAGTGAATTACTCGGGTGTTTTATAAAGTGCGGCTTTTACTCTGGAAAATACGGTCTGCTCATATCTTAGTCCATCCCGGCAGGTACCACTTGATGTGCTGCAGTGCGTGCTGTCCAGTGAAATTTGCGCTAGTGGAAGAATATTTTAAATACAGTCAGACCTCGCTTAAAACCGCACACATCCGTTATCCACGGAAATATCCGGATAGGCGAGGGAACCGGATAACCGAAACGCCGGCTATGTTGGATGCACCATGTATGCTGTAAATCTGTAACAAGCTATGTTCTTCCGGATGGCGAGGGATCCGGATAAGCGAGGTCTGACGGTATTCTATTATTGAAAGGCAGGGTTGCATTCGTTAGCGGACAGGCCGGTGTTTGTACTTTGTAGTGCTGCGTCCTCCCTCGTCTTTTTTCATTCACGGTGGGGAATTTCACCGGACAGCACTGTGATTACGTGTATATCTCGGTATTCTCTGCCGAAAGAGAGAGAGAGAGAGAGAGAGGAGAGAGAGAGAGAGACAGAGAGAGAGAGAGAGAGACAGACAGACAGAGAGAGAGAGACAGAGACAGAGGAGAGACAGAGAGAGAGGAGAGACAGACTCACATACAGACTGACTGACAGACCGACTGAGAGGAGGGAGGGAGAGAGAGAATTACAGAACTTTCGTCCGAACAAATAATTTTAAATCCAAATACACCCGCATGCATGATGGCTGACGACATGACAGCCAGTATTGGCCTAGATCTACATGTCTCCAAACACACTCTCACACACACTCTCACACACACACACACACACACACACACACACACACATGCACACACACACACACACACACATATTATGTACATGGTAGTGAGAATAATGGCTTTAAAATGTTTTCGACATCAAGGAAACTAAGTTATACTTCGAACATAACAAACACAAGCATTTATGAAGAAAAGCCGGCGGCAGCAACATAGACGAGCAGCGATAACGGTATGAGTGCTCAACATTCAGTCCAGCTGAATACCTTTGAAAACTGTACTGATTGGGCCTAGAGTGAGCAGTAATGCCGGAGATCTACCTGAGGTCACAGCCTTCAAAAGGACACACTACCGATTGGCCATCTAGAGAATTGCACAACCCGCCATACACACGCGCACGCACACCCACGCAGACACACACATACACGAGAACAGGCACACACACGCTACATGGTAGTGGAAACACGCTACAGGCAGGCCAGCTAGGAAAGTGACACAATACCAGCAAATGCTAAATGGAACTACATGTAGAAGCAATACGGCAGTGCAATCGTGCTAAGTAGTTCTTAGTAGCTCTGTGCCCAATGTCTCAAATATCTGCAATAGGATAAAGGATTACAACTTCACCGGATTCCGGTGACAGAGCAGTAGTAGCCCAGTGTATAACAATGGTTGAATATCGCTCGCTCATAAGGCAGTGACGGAGACGGTCAGAATACCTGATGCCCGCTTGTCAGCAGCCTTTGCAACAGAATTAGCAACCACTGTCGAATCTTCCGTGCCCGCTCTGTCTCTACGCTTAACAATCACTGGTCGATGCTGTCCTCCAGATTCCGTCTGTCTTCCCTGCACTTGTATAGAATTGTCCTTGGCAGGTGCACTAACATCTGCATCATCGCTTTCGAGGCTACTCTTCAGCTTTTTAGATTTCCTTGAGCGGAAGCTGTTGCGCAGCGATGAGGTCCTCTTCAGGAATGACTTGCGTCCAGTGGTGTTAGTAGCACTACTATCTGCAGCCTGCTGATCATCGGACCCCGGTGAAGCACAATGGCTGCCGGCACTGGCATGGCGATCAGAAGAACCCGCGGACGTGATCGTGGAGTCGGAGCTGGTTGAGGCGCTCGCCTTCTTGGATGTGCGTGTCGTTGCCTTGGTGATGAGCCGGCGCAGGCTGCCCCGCGCCGCATTGCCACGCTGGAAGCCACCGAGTTCGACTGTGATACCACGCGGCAATGTTGCTACATGACTCGAGAGGTTAGCTGTACCGACTGGAGTCATCCAGTCGCTCACCAACGACATAGGCCGATCAGGACGTGGCTGATCATCGGAGTCGGACACCTTTCTCAGACGCGCTGTCACTCCATGGTACTCAGCTGCTGAACCTGGCCGACTATTCTCGCCAGATAGGTCCTGCGCAGAAAGAAGGAAATCCTCCGCTGACAATTCAAGAGGATCCGATGGCGGTGATGGACTTCGGGATTGGTCTGGTGGGTCATGCGAGTCCAAGAAATCGAGCAGGGACATGACCCCCTCCTTTTCTTCGTCCTCCTCTTCGACTTCTTCAACAAGAGCGGGTGGTCCTGATGGAGAGAGCGACAGCAGAAACTCAGCAGCTGATAATCTGTTAGCTGGGGCCTTGGTATCCTTCCTGGCATCACCGGCTGCATGTCGCACAGTGACTGCGGTCAAGGACGGTCGGTTTCCTCCATGCCTGCCTCTCCACGGCAACGTGGCACTCACGTAGTCGTGCTGCTGCCCATCTGCAAGATGATCGGCACACACACCATCACGGCACTGGGACATCGATGACTGATCCTCTGAGCCAGTCGACTCTGGGCTCAGTGGACTGCGTGGCTCGGATGACTGGGGCGAGAAGCACTCGTCAGGGGTGACATGCCGATAGGTGGGCAGAGACTGAACCGATGTGAAGGTGTCTTTGATCTTGTATGTTCGTGTCAAGCTGCATTCCGGGCTTAATCGCGAGACAGAGTTGCTAGAGCGAACACCTAATGTGCTATCAGAAGCAAAGTCGTGGCTAGATTCTGCACATGAATAATGGCGACCGGGAGAGATTGTGAGCGTCGTACCCAAATCAGAGGAGGACGGCTCGCTGTCATCATCCACCAGAGATTCGTAATCTGCGGTTGGCACTTCAGGCGTAGCACGGTCATCAGTGCAGGTCGCTAGGTCTGGACTATCGCATGCGACCGATGCCTGGGGTGTTATCTGCGTGTGATCTTCTCGTGACCTAGCATCTTCGTGGTCGGCATGAATGAGAGTGGACTCGTCCACCGCCAGTCTCAGGTCGAACATTGAGTTTCCCTCAGCCTCGAGTGGTGGTGATAGTGTGCTGGGCTGCAGGGGACGACGCAGTGCACTGTGTGGAACATCATAGTCGAAGCTTGAACCCAGCACCATGTTTCCAGTCCTATCTCTGTGCTTTGAGAGCAGCATGAACTTGCGCGGCACACCGCTCCTTGGAACGTCGTACGATGGTGATCCGCTGCATGCTGGCGGTGCGCCGCGCGGAAAGTTCTGATCATCCTCTGCAGCTATGCGAGACTGCATGGGTGGTATGTCCAGGGGTAAACTGTGCCGTGACTGTACACTGGACCCACTGCTTGAGATCTGCACAGAGCTAGAGTTGGGACTGGACGAGGAGGTCACGACGGCGGGCTGGTCCGTTGACACTAGACTGCCATTCGAATTGTAGTGACTGAGCTTTTTTGCTGAAGACATCGAGGACAACGGCGAATGAAACGAGTCCTCGGACGACCCGGAAGAGCTGGACGTTTTACTGTCCAGGGCCGGTGAACTTGTCTGCACCGGCCGTAGTAAAGAGTTCTCAAGTCCACCACCAAGAAAGGAGGAGCGGGGTGAGTCGGACGAGTTGGGAAACGAGGCGAGGCTGTCCTGGGAGTCGTCCGCAGTTGCAGAGGACATACTGGTGGTATCGCAGTGAGCGTTGCGCAGAGCGTTGGAGAAGACGTCCGTGATGAACTCGTTGACGGTGCAGAACGAACCATCCTCCGGTGTATCCACATCAGAGTCTCTCAATGGCGATGGTGACGGCGATGGCTGTCGATATCTGTCCCGTAGCTTCCGGAAGGACCTGAACGGACCCGTGCCACCGCTTGAAAGGCGTTTGAAGTTAGGAACGAATAGTGCCGAGTTTGCCGATGTAATGGAACGGTTGTCAAAGTCACTCGTTGTACTATCATAGTCCATCGTCTCATTGGATACTTCCTCATCGTCGCAATCAGCGCCTGGCTTGCGTGGCACAAAGCACTTTCCACTACCTCGCAGAGCCGGCTTCACGATCAGCAGTGGGCGATGCTGAGCGCGAGTAATGCCATCGCTGAGCAGTGCCATCATTTCGCTGTCACACTGATCTATGGCTATGTCCATGGGTAAGCAGTTGTTGCCGTCCAGTGTCGGGTGGCGAGGGTCGGCGCCACGGTCCACGAGAAGACTAGCAGCATCTGACTGGCCTGCACAGCACCATAGATGCATGCACACACACACACACACATACGCACACATACACAAACACACACACAGACACACACACAGACACACACACACACACACACAAACAAACACACACACACACACACACACACAAGTACAACACAGTAGCAACACCTTTAGTGGATAGGGACATGCCCACCATTCAGAACATAACAACAACAACCATCACGCCAGGAGCAGCCAGGGAGGAATCATAGCATCTTCATGTTTTTTGCTCCAGGCTCCGTCAAATCCATCTGACAGTGCCATATAACATGCGCATAGCATCGCAACTACTTTGAGTACAAGTAATATTACCAAAGCAGTGAGATTCACGAGTATATTAATTAATTACTAAATTGCGCTGCAAGTCCACATTGTCGAAAGAGGGTCCACGTTTACAGTCCAGTCTCACCCACTGTACCCATAGCTCCGACATTGGCCTCATTCTAGACTACGACAGAGTATTTGAACCCTATATCCCACACATGAAGCTCAGCTGCTACCTGACAGCATGCGACTTGAATGTGTCAGCCCTTCTGTCACCTAAAGACTACTACAGTGTTTTCTCTATCATCACCTCAGCACACACATGCTGCATGTCCTGCAGGAATGAATGGAGAAACACTCTCTGCTACCTCCCACAACGCACCACAGGGTAATGGCCAGTGCTAGATGAGACAAACACTGACTGAACTACGCAAATATCTCAATTCGTAAGGCCGTCCTGGGGGTGTTCCTGCAAGGCTAGTGATGCACTGGTCCATACTGGGTCTATGTAAGTTTGTAACCATGGCATGATGGTCGTTAGTGTATCAAGGATTCAATGGTACAGATTACAGATCACTTGCCAATTTACAAGCAAATCTCCAAGAACAGCCCACGTGTCGTGAACACATGCTGGATGTGCACAGTGGCAAATGCACAGACAGAGTGAGAGTGAGAGAGAGAGAGAGAGAGAGAGAGAGAGAGAGAGAAAGCAGAGCAGAGCCGCACTCTCACCTGCATCGACAGCGTAATGCAACGGCGTCCATCCGTTGTCATCCAGCACGTCCACATACGCTCCCCTGTCCAGGAGCATGGCGATGGCGTCGCTTCTTGCCGCTAGCACAGCCTGATGCAACGCCGACCTGCCGCCTACTAGCACTGCATTCAAGTCCAATTCCTGATCAGCCTCCATCTCCAGCAAAACTCTATTGATCTCGTCTATGGACTCGTCACGAATGGCACTCAGCAGGAACACATCGTGCGTGAAGCTCACCGCCCGACGCACTCGCCTCTTCTTCGTGACCCGGGCGGAACCACCGGAGATACGGAACGATGACGCCTTCCTGGCAATGCTCGATGCCATACCGCTTGCACAACTCTTGCACAAGTCTGGCACTAGTTTGGGTCAAGGCACCACCTCCACAGTTAGTATCACTTCCACGACTGCTAACCAGTCTGTACTGAGCTACAAGTACAAGTTTTTGCCTTTACTCATTCTCAACAGACTGCAGTAGGGCTTGCACCACCAGGTTGACAGCAGAGGTTTGTATGGGAAAACCTGAACACCACGTAGAGTTCTGTTCCACAGCGTCCACAGGAACTTTACAGTTCTGTATTCTGAAAGTAGTACGTAGAAGGGAGCAAGTATCCAACACCACCTTCAGTAGAACACGAGTCTATCTTGCAACAGCTGAGGCAGAGCACAGGTTTGCAGTTGCAGTTGAGGTCAGTGCCACTTGTTTTAGGACACTATCTGATAACAAATGACCTGCCTGGCCTCCAGCTCTGCCCAAACAGAGCAAGATAGCGTAGCTTGACACCGCCTTGACAGGGTCTTCGCCACAATCGCTCACTCTATCTGTTATGTCACAGATATTCAGCGTCAAAATCACCCCGAGCGAAGGAGAGCGCGAACCAGCGAACCCGTGCACTGAGCTCAGCGAATTCTGAACTGAAACCAATGCTTCTTTTCCGCTATTGTCGAGAGGAGCAGCGTGGGTCACGGCTGAGCCAGCTGTCAGGACTCATAGTCATACAATAAAATGCAGCAGGTTTCCGCAGTGTAGCTCAAAGCGGTCTCTACAACTGTAGCCTCAATCCACTTCAGCTTACACAAACACTATGAAACAGCGCGAAACCGTTTGGCCGCCCAGCTCAGCCTACGACTGCACTTCACAACTCCAGTCTCTGCCTATCCATTAATCCAGGCCACGTGATTACTGCGTCGTTCACTGACTTAGAGTTCGTCAGACACGCAGAAGTGTTGGAGGATAAACACACCGTTGCAGTGGGGGTAGAAAGACATGCGTTTTGGAATTATTAGGTTTAGGGAAGCGTGCAGACCTCCCTGGACACAGGCTGACCGTTTGGGCTTTTCGTGGCTGTCAGCCGTCACGGGGTGCCGGTCGACCTAAAACCCTGAGCGTTGACTGTTGCCTGCTGCCAGCACCTGAAAGACAAACCAGAAGCGAATGCGACGTGATTTGACGCTGCGTCGGGTCGTAAGTCCTTGTGTTCCCGTCAACGTCCAATCGTATAGATTTCGGCTAGTCTTGTTTTCCGCCGCAGAGCCGTTGCTGCCCCGATGGTTGTACGTAACGTTTGGGAGTTAGCTGCTCAGTCCTAAGGGACCTTGCGATCGCCGCGTATCCCGCTCAAGGTGATGTTGACACCACCACACGGCACTGCACTACACTGGCGCGCGACAGAAAGTCAGCAACCACAATCTCCGCGCTGCTTCCCCAACAAGACAGATGCCACCGAGTCTGTGCTCCGTCAGTGTCAGTAGGGGGTCTCAACCGTCCGCGTGATCGTGGAACATCCAGAAAATAATGAGATGCACACAATGTTCACGTCCACACAATCAGGACGAGTCAGGAGAAATAATCCATCATGCCTATTTCCGTTTCATAGCGCGCAAGCTGGATTTGTCAAGAGCCCTTACTTCTGAAGTCAGTGAAGAGGAAGATCCCGATCGTTTCACACAGTTTCCAAGGATGCGAAGCCAAACAAGTGCGTGCACTAGCGCAGGGATAGTGAGTACGAGTAGGGTACAACTGGGAAAAAACACCGCCGACTCCGTACATCGAACATCAGCCTCAGTCATGACTGTAGACCTACTGAGTCTGGTAGGTCACTCCATGCTGGCTAGCTGTGACCGCGTGCTGTGCCCGATCTGCATCATATCTGCATAATAATCTGGCCAGCTCACATTTCATCGCGAGCGTGCGATCTCGCCAGACACGCGAGCGCGTGTTGTTGGCCGTCCTACTCGTAGATTCTACGATCCTACATGAAGTCTTGCAGCTCCGGATCGCAAGGCCATTATGGGTATGGCCGCGGCCGGGAGGGTGCAGCTCGGTCGTGTTTCGCGTGCTCAGTGCTCACCAGGGAGTCGTAAAAGCCCGGGAGAGGACACGGCACACATTCCCAGAAAACATCTTTGCCTCGCGCTGCCGGGGAACGCTGCCAGGGAACGGTGTTGCGAGGCAAGGAAATTATTATTTTCGAAAATTGTGATGTCTTCTTGAAATACTAATTGGGACATTCTCCGATTTCTCTTAGAGCACGGAGACGATTGCTCCGTCGAGTCTTCTGATCTCTATTATCATCCTCAATTCTTCCAGCTGCCTCACTCATTCTCTCTCAGTTTATCGAAGTTAATTTATTCTGAGGCGATGGAAATGCAAGATAAGTCCCTAATTGTACTTCAATTTTATTTGAGTTGGGGTGAACGAAATGAGATTTGTGGAAAATGACGCCACTTCCCGTGTTAGCCGCTGGTCGTATCATACAGCCCATATTCCATTGCAGGTGATGGGCAAACGTTCGTGTTGAGATCCGCTGAGCTTCCTCGTACTCGTGGAGTTGAATTTATGGCAGAAATTGCACTGAATTGCAGTCAAATGGTTGTGAATGAAACGAGATTTGTGGAAAATGACGCCACTTCCCGTGCTAGCCGCTGGTCGTATCATACAGCCCATATTCCATTGCAGGTGATGGGCGAACGTTCGTGTTGAGATCCGCTGAGCTTCCTCGTACTCGTGGAGTTGAATTTGTGGCAGAAATTGCACTGAATTGCAGTCAAATGGTTGTGAATGAAACGAGATTTGTGGAAAATGACGCCACTTCCCGTGTTAGCCGCTGGTCGTATCATACAGTCCATATTCCATTGCAGGTGATGGGCGAACGTTCGTGTTGAGATCCGCTGAGCTTCCTCGTACTCGTGGATTTATGAACTTGTGTCAGAAATTGCACTGAAATTGCAGTCGAGTGGACTTCTGTGCGTGTGTTGCGAGTGAATCGCAAAGGCTCCCTTCCTTCAGCATCGTCAAAACGCAACATAGAGCATTATTACGCACTCGTTCCATGATTCATGATATTGCCTGGATTCTTTTAAAAACAATCAATGTGTGTTCCCTATCTATCTACATTGTACATGGTTGCAGGTCGTTATTTATACATATGTAGATCTTGTTAAAATTTTCTACACTTTTCTACTCGTATACTGAGTACGCGGTGACTTTAGCCGTTTAGGAAACGGAAGGCTCAGCCTCCAGGTTGGCCAGAAAGGTTCTCAGTGAATCTAACCGAAGTCTTGGCGAGTGTACAAAAGGTTAACCTATCATTTGTACTTCATAACGGAATTGTGCACAAAAATGCGCACGCACGCGTGCGCGCACACACACACAAAAACACTGTACAAACACACACAAACACTGTACAAACACACAGAAAAGTACAAGCTCATGTGCACATACACACGCCCCCCCCCCCCCCCCCCCCACACACACACACTCAACTCCCCACCCCCTGTACCATGTGTACTGAGTCTGACAGACAGACACATAAACACAATCATGTTTATGCTTCCTTCGCCACAAGTTTCGGATAATGGTGTCAACAACGAGTTGTAAAATATTGGTATTTTAGGACTCCCTGCCCCGAAGACGAGCACAGCGCCGTGGATCGAGCAGATCCGGCCGCGCCGGCCTAGCGTGCTTCACTTTCTGGCCGAGGCAAACATCGTCCGCGTGCGCGCATCCCGTGTCCTCTCCCGGGCTTTTACGACTCCCTGGTGCTCACCATGTAGATCTACCAGGGATTCGACTCCCTGCCAGTCCCTGGTGCTCACGACGGATCGGCTACATCTAGGCCGCCCGGCGCCCGTAGGCAGTCCGGTGCAGTGTCAACGATTCGGTAATCATGCAGTTTAGGGTCCCAAATTATTTCGCACTTTCCCAGTGTTCCTGTCACATGCCTTTTCCCAGTGTTCAGTGTACTGTCACACGCTTTTTCAGTGTACTTTCACTATGCTTCTTCTTTTCTCGTGTCGAAGTTTTGTTTCCTTTGTCAAAGTTGTGTCTCCTTTATGGTAATGGCTGGGCGTCCCGGAGCGCCGATACGCATTTTCCCTCTGGCTCAGGCACACATTCTAAATGATCATGCGGCACATCGCGAGAGTTGTTCCCGACGTACCTCTGCGAGTTCGCGTGGAGACAGAGAGTTCGCGCGGAAGACAACACATTCGGCTCCCTGCTCCGCAGTGTTCACCAGCAGTACCCAGTCTGATCTGTCCCCGGTTTTCATGAAAATAAAGTTCATGATACTGAAGCCTTGTGAAGTGAAGGCTCAAGGGTCGGAAAGCATGTGAAAGTACACTGAAAAAGCGTGTGACAGTACACTGAACACTGGGAAAGTGCGAAATAATTATTTGGGACCCTAAACTGCATGATTATCCTTATCTCCGGAAAGATCTCTACGAATTTTCGTTATGCACAACCTCTCACCACTATTCACAACTTGTTTTCAGGCTTTCAGACCCTTATCTCCGGCCTAATCAAGCATACGGTGCAAGTCGTCACGTAAGAATGAACAACACTGCTTGGCATAAAAAAGGGTTTTGGAAAGACCCACAAAGGAAGAACCGTTGAGTGTTAGTACTGTTACTTAGATTATCACCTGTCGTGTTTTGCAACGCGGGGCAGCAAAATGACGAGGTGGCTGAAATCAAGAAGGCGTAAGATTTGTTACGTGTTGGCCGGATATGTGTGGATTGATAAAAGTAGAACGGAAGTTAGTGTTGAATCTACCTTTTCAAATGCCACATTTACAGCTAATAAACTACTTAGTTACGTGCAGTAGTCTAGCTAGCTGGATCGTCAGCTCAGTTGAACAGTTACACTAGCCTACAGCGCAGTGTCCGTGTGGTCCGCATCATGCTGAGTGAAAATGAGACAAGGGTCTTGTTCCTTGTTCATTTCCTTTTTTACGTCTGTATAATATGATCATGTCACTCGTCTGCTTGCTGTGCTTTCAGGCTAATCCAGGACCGGAGCCATCGTTCGACGTTCGTTCAGGCTGTTCAGCGGCCCTAGGGCCTAGGCTATTTTAGTCTTCGCCTAATATGTCATGTCAGCCATGATTTTCTTGCCCTAGCTGTCATCAGGACATGGGCATAGTACAGTATAGTCATCGCTGGGCCCTTTGACTAGTAGTACTAGTACGCGCTTGACCTAACGCGTCCTTGTCCAAAGCCAGAGGCGAAGGCCAAACGCCGGCCCAAAGCCTTGCACTGGTCAGCTATGTATGAACGTCCACTCGACTCAGCAGATCAGAGAGGCGTAGGGAGGGTTGGCTTTGCTTTGCACCGAACTAAAAGTAAAGACTATAGCAGTATAGGTATTATAATGACTGCCGAAACGAAGAAAGCACTGGAAATACATGTTTGTACAATCATCGTAGTACAGCAGTAGTAGATTCTACTCAGTAGATCTACTTTCTACTCAGTAGATCTAGTACTAGTACTAGTAGGCAACGAAGACGTGTCTTTGTAGAGTCTAGGAGGTCAACAAGAGTCAAGACTATCTCGTTCTAGCTTGGGTTCAAAAGTTCACGTTCCCTCCATTGAATGTAGAGTACCGGAAGGATTCTTCATTCTCAACAGCATGCATGGCTGGTTGACAAAGATACATGAGTAGATCTACGAGTGGAGGCCGAGTAGGTACCGAGAGGAGAGTAAACGCTCTGCGGGAGTTCCATAGCGCGAGCTTATCTCGTCGGTGCCTTGGCGAGCACGTGCCGCTATGTTGGAGGCGCCCTTTGTTCGCCACGACACGTGCTGGTAGATCTACGTGGTGACGGCTTCCTTGACCTTGATGTGCACCCGGTCCATAGTACTAGTAGTAGTAGTACTCTTCACGGCAAGCAAATCTGAAGCCGCATCCTAGGGCTAATGACTACTAGTATGTGCAAAAGCACGAAAAGGCAAGTCGGTGCTCACTCTCTTGAAATGCTACATAGTACATGTAGCTAGACAACGCATTCATAAAATACTTGGTGTGAAACTGCACATTTGAAAGTCAGCTGGATCCATGGAGGTGTGGAATGTACATGTACATGTAGATCGCTGTAGTATTTTCCAGATGAACGACTAGTAGAATCTAGTTCAATCTACCCAGTACCAAGAGTACATAAACCAGAGTGTGCAACTGTGCATATCCATTATGTATCAGATCTGAAACAGCGCAGTTCGTGCACTACGTCACCCTGATGAGGTCAGCCAAGCCGCGACTTGCGTACACACGGTACAGCTCGAATTTTCATGTTTCCATAGCCCGGAAATCAGCCAAGTATTAGTTGGCTTGATTTTAGACGTCCTGTTTCAGGATTTCGGTGTTTTGTGTGACTGTGTACGCTGCGTACGCGCGTACATCCACCGACAAGTAAAGTCACCAGGCTATCCGTCTCAAAAAACCGAAATCAGGACAAACTCAGTGAACTGCACCACCGCGACTGGCCATCTCAGCATTCTGCACAAGGGTTTCGACTCTGACCCAAACAGAAGTAGTTGGCTAGTACTAGTAGTGATATGGCCGCAGGCCGGTCGGTGTGACGCCTAGCTTCATGTCTGTATGGGATCCACGATCCAGGGAGTCTCTAAAATGGTACAATAATGATGTACTTTTGAGTTTTGTACATACATGTACTAGCAAGAGTAC